ACTTGAAACTTGAAACTCGATTCTCGAAAGCATCGAATATCAAGGATCAAGATTCAAGTTGAGACTGTCAACTTACATTTGAATAGTACTGAACATGTAGATTTCGCAAATGTCTGCTTCTTTTACAAGTCATGCTTCTGTTCGCAATAATGTTTTTAAACCCCCAAACATGAAATTTGGCTGGCCATTTGCCCATTGGCAGGCCACTATTTCAAGTCCTGAGTGCACAATTTTGACAAAAATCAATAAATGTGGCTGAATTTGTTATAGAAAATCATCAAAACTTTATCAATGTGCAGTTCCAGGAAATATCCACACTCTCTCCTCTCCCCCCTCCCCAACAGATTAGGGATTGGAACTTCCTGGAGGAGGGAGGTTCTTTAAGACCAAAAAATTTCATGTAAGAAGCTAGACTGGAATTTCCAGAGGGAGTGGAAGGTCAGAAATCCCTTCTGTGGGACAGGTATGGATAATTTATGTAACTACACAAATAACTCTCAATAAATAAAGCATACCTGGAGTTCTATGAAGCCCAGCTGTTTGTGATCTGTACAAAAACAATTCCATAGGAGTCGGAGACCTCATTGCTGGTGGAATGACATTTCTTTGGTAATCAATTTGCTGGAGATGAAATGCAGACAGTCCATTCTGTCCAATGCTTCTGAAATAGAAAGAGAGTCATTAAAATAATTAATTGGAAGATCTGAGAGTAGGCTCTTCATGAGCTACAGTGCCACTCAGAACTAAGCAAACCAAAATTCACATTAACCCATTGACTCCTGTGCCGGCCGTAAACGGCCATGATGAGCCTTGGCCTTTCTTCCACTTCTGAAGTCCTCACCTTTGACCAAAATTGGCATCATCTATGCTCAACTTCTGCAGGAGGAAAAGATCTCTCCAATGATACCCAGATCAAAGAGATCGGCCCAATGGAGCCAGAGATATTGCACAAAAATGCTCAAAAAGTTGCATGAAAAACTCAGAGCAAAATTTCCTGCCACTACACATGGCTACTCCATGGCAAAAATTGCCCATCTCAATGATGCTTTCTCAGAATGTTTTAAACTGGAAGCAAGCCCAGTAGAAGGTCAATCACTGCCAGCAGCAAAAAGAAAAAAAAAGGAGAAAAAGGAAAGGTGAAAAAAAAAATACAAAAATCGAAAAGCCTAATGAGCCTTGATTTCTGCGCGTTCCCAAGCAAAACTGTCGTAAAACGTGATGCTAGTAGAAAGAGAGGCATGCTGTCATGTTGCAAATGCCTTTTTAAGTAGATTGGAGCTAATTTGGCCCATATCTAGCCTAAAAAATCTCCAAAATGTCCAAAAACTGCGTTTTTGGCAAAAAGCTCCAGGAGTTAATGGGTCAACAACGTGTTAACCGGAAGGGGTTAACGCACACGCACATTTTGCTGCGATAGGTTGCACTTTGACTTCGGGTTGGTATGTATGAGCTTGGTCATTGTTTGCTTCTTTTGTTACTTTGTGAAAGGAAGTTAACGCCCTTTTATAAAGACAACATTAATGGTATGAACAACATGTGTTTTCAAGGAGCAGACAAGTTCTATTTCTTTCGTAGCGGCTGAATATTGCAGAGGTTACATACATGCCATTATATTTTGATTCATTCAACCACAGATGAAATGATTTGTATTTTGAGAAATCAGCTTACAAAAATAATGGGGCTTTCAAACGGCACTGCGAAAAAGACAACAGACAACACTGGGAAGTTTCTAGTTCTTTTGTACTGGATCAAGGTTGTAGAATAGGTTGTCATCGCTACTTACAATTTTGCTTTAATTCGTTCATTGGCGAAAATATGTTCTGCAGTTTTGAATAAAACAATAAATAAATATAAGAAATAACACTTTCAAACAATGCGGTAGAATGAAGTTTTTAATTTTACCAACGCCAGAAAAGACAATTGACAAGACTGGCAAATGTTTTCTTCACTTGTTCCAGCTGTTATCAACTTCCATGATATTCACACAAACTAGAATCATTACATACACCATTTGTTTTCATTCATTCCATCACTACTAAGATACAAGTATTTCATCCTTTTGAACAAAACAGGCCCTTCAAGTTTGAGGCATCCAAGTGGTGTGATCAAGAAGTTTTCGCGACGCTTGAAGAAGACAATAGCTAATTGGGCCACAAAAGTGTGTCAAAAGTGTCCCATGGCTGCTGTAAGTATCTGGAGTACAGTGGAACCCTCTTGTGGAATTCTCTCAAACCTTCAATCATCCAACCCCATCCCCCCCAAGGGTTTCAGTTAAACCTATAGAAAAATTTGTTTCTCTTGTAATTTTATCCCAGAGATCGCAATTCTACATGTAGACTTCTTGAACCAGTTTTCATTACCCCCATGCCAACTTAGAGGTCCAAAAAATTGGATTCTGCTGTACTTCCAGTGCTGATCATGTCAAAACATTGTAAGCTACATGTACATATTAATTTTGTAGGTGGTATAATATTATATAGGTTGAGACCCTTCAGATTGCAGGGATTGGATTAGCTCATCAGTATCTGCATTTAACTCCTGATCAGTTTCTTTAAAACAAAGTGACACATTAGTATTGCTAGAATACTTCCCAAGAATAGTGCGATAGTCCTGACAAACACAATTTCCTCCCTAACATTTTGTTGTGTTATAAATAAATTACCGACAATATTTAGAGAGGATGCACATCTAGATCTATCCTGGTCGAATTGGAATTTAGATATGTTGGTTTTGGTGGTGGGAGGAAGACTGGAGAACCCTGAGAAAAACCCTGGAGCAAGGCAAGAACTCAACAACAAACTCAACAACAAACTCAACCACATATGGCACCGAGTTGGAATCAAACCCGTGCCACAATGGTGAGAGGCAAGCACTCTCACCACTGCACCATCCGTGCTCCCCCTGTGTTGTCCTTAAAATGTGTTGATACCCATAATGTATACTCCTTGTTAGTAGAGTTAATAGGCAATTGGTCAGGGTTTACATTGTAATAGTAACTTACCCAGGCAAGGGCTCAAACCCACAACTGACTCAATCAAGAGTCCAATATTAAAACAAGCCATATTTACTTTAGGCTGTAGCACCTTCCAAACACACAAGTATGTGCAACATTTACTGGTAACTACATTGTACTTAAGAAAAACGATTGGCAGTTTTAAGACAGTATAGAAGCTGTTCACACCAACCTAGGAGATCCAGAGTGTGTTGCTGGCTGAGACTGAACAAGCCGACGGTCTAGCTCCCTCCCAATGGTTGAGTGGCCAGGCACTGGATGAGATTTGAGAAATCTGGGAGAAATCAAGGAATGCATGGGACTCTTGTACGACCTTTCCCCACCAAAGTCTGCACGGTTGCACGCCGTCATTGGACAATCAGCTGCAGTTGGTAAAAACAAAAGAAATTAGAGGAAGCTTGCTGCCAAAGAGAAAGAACTGGAATGAACTACGTAATTATAGAATATGTCACAATGAAGCTCATCTCATTCTCATATACAGCCTGTACCTTTAATTACCAGACACAAATTTGCTATTAGCCAATCAGAAGAAGTGTCTACTGTCCTGATATCATGTGATATCAAGTCACTGACCTGGTATAGCATGGCAACAAATTATATGGTCACTTGGCTGAATTTGGGCATGGTAAATACCTAGTCATACCTTTTTGGTAAGCTTGGTAGCATATCAAGCTCATTTGTTCTCGCCATGGGTATTTACAAACCATGGCTCAACCAAATCAGCCAAAAAGTAATGATTATATGTACATGTAGGTATAAGAAAAATGTAGCAAAGAAATGCATACCACCACAGCCAACAGGGACCATTGTTTGGCAACCATATATGTACATGTACCAGAGTATACATGTATACATGTAGACAGTTGAGACTCCCCAAAATAAAGTGTGATCTGCCTAACATGACTTTTTGTGCATCATGTTATGTTAAACACAACAAACCTTCCCTTAGACTCTTCCATACAGAGACTTCCATATTACAGACACTTTGCTTCATTCCAGAAAAGACAGAATTTTTTGTTTGTTCATTTTATTTTTTGGTCATAAAAATCATACATGTACATGTATACATTTGTAACCCCTCCGACTATAATATGGAAACTCTGCCCATTCATGTCTGTCTTAAAGAAGTTCGACTGTTGTACTGTTCAGTGTTGCTAGTTTAATAGACTATGGCTGCCATGTCTCCATGTTTCTTGTTTCATTCTGAACAGCTTGGAGCAATTAAGAAAAGCAAAAAGTGTATGACAACAAAGTTTTGGTCAGTACTACACATGTATGTACTTACCAGTCATGACTGCCATTATTGTGTCATTATAAGAGCTAGTCACAGACTTAAGAGCTTGAGATGAGCCCAGCAGGTCACTGCCAAGCATGTTTGGAAGTCTCCATCGGTTGGTACATCCAACTTGAATCCTGTTTCTACTACGTGGTAGCAGAGGTGGCTGGAAAAAGAAAATAAGTCTATCTAGACAGGATATCAGTCTGAACCATGGGGTTCATGTTATTTGTTTGCAAAGATCTGTCAGCAGTCAAGGTGTTTGTCAATAACTAAATGAAATTTTAAAAGGTTAACATTTACTTAGCACCTGCCTAGTCTTATAAAAATGCATCACATGTATAAAGGCATCTTAGCAAAGGCATTCTAAGCTGGAAAGCTCAGTAGAAAATGTTTGAAGAAGTTATCTACAACTTTTTTGGATCACTGTTATTTCAGAAAAAAAACCTACCCCCCCTCCCCTCCTTTTGCACTGGTCAGGAAAGAAACAATGAACATTTACAGTCCAATGACCTCCTGAGTGAGGGAATTTTTTCCCTTCTCATTTTATTAACAAATTTAAAATGAGTGCATGAATAATGATCATTGATCAATTTTTTGACAGTCTGTTGCAACATAACAGATTTTTTCTAATCCACTGGATTTTCATCTTTGTAAGAGGTCCACTTTCAAACAAATGAGAATTGCATGAGTACGAAAATTTTGACCATACCCTACCGTAAAGATTTCACAGCATTGCATTACCAATATTAAGGTAATGAACACATGTAAGGAATATTTAAGAACTGAAAAGTGTACCATGAATTAAGCAAGTTGTTATGGCTGTGAATTAAAGAAGGAAAACCCAGAGAAGCTGTTTCTTCTGTGTACCATTTTAGAGATCAGTTCACAGGTGCCCCTGGATGTATACTTCAAAATTTTCATTAAAAGAATTCCAATTAAAATCTCAGCATTTTTAGGTAAATAGTGGGCACGTTTGCACTTAGCCCCTTCTTGCAACGATCATTATCAGCAAAATTGAATTAATTAATAATTTATATGATCAACTTCAGGAGTAAAAAATATGCATGAAACAAAAGTTGATTTACAACACTGTTTTTCAAGTCAGGAAATCTTTATGAATGGATGATTTCTTCAAAAACTTTGAATATAAGCTTGACTAAAATGAAAGCTTCAAATTCCCCACCGGGACACCGGATATGCAACACTTCTGATTAAGAGGAATGATCGTTGAAGATACAATATAGCCTAAATGGATCACATAAAATACTTTCGTTCTCGAGCAGGTTTTCTGAAAGTCCGGTTGTTTGCAGTGCCATCGCATCGTGAGAAATGTTTCAACAATATTCCCAAGATACAATGTAGTCTATTATCCAATTAACCTCACACCCTTCTCTAAATTAACTTAATCTGTTTTTGGAGGCAAATTTTACCTTCGGAGGATCTCGTGCATCTGCAACCACACCAGCAAGAGCCGAGAACGGGGCTTCGATAAGAAATCTGTGAAAATTATTCACTAAGTGGTGATCAAGTGTTACAAAGTCAACAAAGCTAAAACCGCGCGCAATCAAGCGCACTGCCGCCAAGAGAGAATTTGCAAACAGTGAGGCTAAATCACACTTCTTTACCTTGAGTAAGAAGGCTTGGTGGTTTTCGCAGGTGGCAAGGACGGTAAATAAGGACGAGGTAAAGGGGAAGGCGTTCCTGAGAGAACATTATTCCGCAAATGACCGTAACTTTCCACGTAGACTTCCGCCATCTTTGTGGTTGGATGGGTCTCCACAGCAACGATTGTGAAAACGAGGCTGGGTAGTTAAAAATGGGTGAGAGCGAGGCTGGTGGTTCTTGCCACATTCCAATGTTCGACCATTTTCGTCCGCCGCGAAGGCATTTGACTTTCACAGGGGCGGGGCCAGGGGCGGGGCAGAAGACTCCTGAAATTTTCGTACAGGCATCATCCAACAAAAAATGACGTCACATCCGGTTTAAACTGCGCTTCGCGGCTCGTTTCACAATGCGAGAAAATGGCGTTTCGATTACTCATGATTTCCCTCTATTTGTAAACCATCAGTTTCGTTTCATTTTATATTGAGTATGGAAGGATGT